AGAAGATTAGCCCTCAGGGAAGTACAAATGAAAGTCAGAGCTGGATCTCAGAGTGAAGGCTGGACTACAAGACACTGCAGCTACACCGGCAAAGTTTGGCAGTTCCGTAAGCTGAGCACACACACCACACAACCCGACAGTTACTCCTGGGCATTTATCCTAGAAAAAAATACAAGCTTTACAGTCACAGAAACCTGAAAATGAACGTCATAGCAGCTTTATCTATAATTACCACACCCTTCAATGGCTACATAAAATGACAGACAGTCCTATAATGGATAAACAATTACTAAAACTAGCAAACTGACAATGCAGCACTAGTAACTAATTCCTTATTCAAATTTCAGTGTTTCTACACTTCATCATGTTCAAACATCCACATAACCACCACCACAATCAGAACACAGGACTGCCCTTCACCCAAAGAAACAGCCCTAACCTAAGCAAATCCTAGCCTGCCTTCCATTTCTTCAATGTTGTCATGGAGAATGCTACAAAACCAGCACTGGCTGGCCATTTTCTAAGTCTAAGCTCCTACACATTTGAGGGAAGGAGGCTCCTGTTCCTTCTCACGCTGAGCATGTTCATGAACATACCACCTCCACACATGATGAGGCATCTTCCCTGTGTGACAATGTGCAAGCTTCCCTCACAGAAAAGCCCCTTGCTTTCTTTGGGGAGAATGCAAGTTTGCAAACTAACTGCAGGGCTCTGCTCCTTGCTCGGAAACCTCTCTCCAGCCCATTAGAATCTCCTAGCTGTGGGATCCCAGCCTTCAGTTAGCTACGGACACTCAGCACAAACCCTGTGAGCCCCATGCAAACTGCTGTGTGCACCAACAGCTACTCCTTTTGCTGGTGCCTGGTGCTCCACTGTACGGCCATGCCACATTTTTCTTCTCTGTCATCCTGAGGATAGGGAGTAAGGAAAAAGTTTTGTACAAATGTAAGTTTTTATTTATCTAGGATAAATAAATGTCTGAGAGTGCAACTGTGGGATCTTATGTTAAGTCTATGTTTAAATTTTTGAAAACCGGCCAAATTAATTTGAGTGTCTGTATCTATACATTTTACAGACCCACTAGCAAGTTCTAACATAAATTTCCAAGTCATGATTTCTGGAATACATTCTGCAAGCCTGGAAAAAAAAACAGGGGGGAGCTAAACCTCCTAAGCATTATAACCCAAATTCAGTTTTACAAAACACAATTTAAAAACTTTTCTGATGTCTAAGGAGACTTTTTCTCATTACTTCTAACAGAGAACTTGTAACTATACAGAATCTGCACCTTGATGGCCACTGTCACATGAAATAATAAAGGCAGGGGTGGTGGCACTGATGTCTACAGTAAAAACAGTAAGTTCAGTCCATGAGGGCTAAAGGGTTAGTCACACTTTCTAAGTACTCAATACCCTGAAATAGGCTCACAATGCAGCAAGACAGAGTAAGGCTAAAAGATGGAACCTGTTCAACACATGCTTGGTAAAATAACTTGAGAAATGCAACTTTAAGTAAAGCTGTCACTATCCTGGCTATAAGACTTCAAATTCTGGATTTTTTTTTTAACTCTAAGTAAAAATTGACAGTTACATAATGTGTTCTCTCTGATGTTCTTAAAACAAGAAGCTAAGTCTAGAGATGTAGCTACTCACCCACTGACAGCAGCCAGCCAGCTGATTCAGAGTGATATGTACAGACAGCAATTATAAGACCCTCACTTTTAGTCCCATGCAATCAATCTGTTCCTGACACTGAGCTATGTAGGGTGTACTTCCTTCCAGTGTCAGTGTGATAGATGCTTTAAAAGTATATGGCAGAACATTCGAAAATTTCAAACTAATTATTCTGTTGTTTAATTATGACTTCTATTTAATGTCTCTTCCTACTTAATGCATGTGGCTTACTGATATATTGATTTTTATATGCATGTTTAGTACTACTCTATAAGTCCATCTTAATTTTTAAATTCTAGAGCACAGGTTCCCATCCTTTGGACCAGGCACTCACAGTAAGACGGAGCTGATGCAGACTCATCAAAATGCAGTCACCAGCCACCTAACAGCCTGTCAGTCAATGACTGAGTATAGGGAAGGCCCATAAAATGATGTCACCCAGTGGCAGTCGATCTGTATAAGTGTACTGTGATGGCTACAGTTAATTCAAAGATGCACACTCTGTGATGTCTGTAGTCAGCCTGTAGAAATACACCTTTGTAGCTCTAGCTGGTCTGGATCTATGCAGGCATCAATCTGCCTCTGCCACACCATCCATCTGCATAAGCATACTGGGGTAGCCACACAGTCCCTGACAATCTGAGATGTCCAAACATAACACAGGACTACCTTACCTGAAGCCTAAATACGATTCACATCAGTTTCCCCAAGTTAGCAAACATGTTGCACCTGAAGAAATTCTTAAAGGTATTAAAGAATGACAGTGAAATGTCCTTGTCATTAGTCAGTGCTTGTTGATAAATGTAATGCCTGCTCTGGGGTCAGGACACATCTCTTACTTCCCTAGGCTCTGCAGAGCTTCTTTTAAAGCCCTGCCTAACTAGGTGAGGCATGCACACTACCCCAACCATCACACACTCATAAGCTGAACACTAGGAAGGTTGCTGTAAGCTCCCGCCAACCTGGAATACACACTGAGCTCTTGGGCAGCATAGACTGAACAGTTAGATCCTTCTCAAAAACCTAAAATTAAGTTAATAAAAAATCAAGCACTACGTATACAGCGCACCCAAAAGAAATATGTACTTGAGTTTGAGCCCATAGATTTCAGAAATGCAGCAAGACTACCAGAAAAGTGCACCAAGTTACTCAGCAGCAAGGGTTTGGCGAGCTTTCTCAGAGGCCATCCTTATGGTTTTACAATGACAACTGCATACACAGCCAAGCAAATATGGGCTGAAAGTTTCACCACTGAGCTAAAGGCTTGGTTGCTGAAGACACCAGCCTTCTAAATTCACCTCACATTCTATTGCTTCAACAAAACCATTTGACAGAATAGGTTTGTGCTTGGCAGTAGCCATGTGGTCTCAGGGGAGTGAGTCAGTCTGTGTCCTCTCACACTCAAACAGAACCTTGACAAGCATTTCAAAATACCCTGCCAGTCTAAAACACAGGCTCTAAGCCCATCTAGTCACCAATCCATTGGTGACCCATCCAGACCAACTTCCCCCACAGCCTCACCTCACACTCACAAGGCAGCAGAACTCACAGCCTGATGCTGGCAGACAAGAGCCTTGCTCATTTGCATAAACTCAGGAGTCACCCTTCTGTAACTGATGACAGGTAAATTCCACTTCCAAATCTGTTTATTTTTCAAATCAAAAATACCTTAACGTTTTACTTTCCAAATCAAATCCTATTCATAACAAGTCTATTAGAGGTGTCCTTAAGGAGAAAAAAAAAAGTCAAAGTTTAAATCTTTAAATCTTTGTCTTTCCTAGACATCTGGGACATTCATTTATTATTATTTCACGTTAGGTTCTCAAAGCTAAGAAAAACTGGCCTGTTTCCTGTAAGAAATGTAATTTTAGGGCCTGTCAACATTTTAAATGTACTGCTGTTATTTTTAAAACATACACAGGCATACTTGAATAAGACTCAGCATAAGCCTTCCATATAACCATTCCCTGGGCACTCAACAACTTATTAGATGCCAGGCTCCCAGGCTCCCTGCTAAACACATCAGCTCCATCATCTCATTTGTTTAACAAATATTCTCTCGTCGTGTCTGCAATGCCAAGCACAAGCAGCAGCCACTAGTTACCAAAGTGATATCTGCACTGGATACTAGCGCTGTACGGAACCAGTAATGCGTAACACACATTCGTTATCCAACCCACGTTCCTGTGTTAACACAGACACGAGCAGCAAAGCTGAGTTGTCGTGGCTGCCATCTGTGGAGGCACAACAGGGAAAGCCATTATCAAGTGATGTCAACTTACATTCCTTTCTACAAGTAGTTGAGCATTATCTTAACTGACCAGAAATTTAATTCCCATCATAATTCTAAATTAAATCTCCTCAAACATTATGATCAGCATGTCACAAAAAAAAAACTGAGATGCCTTTCTCCTGAACTATTTTATTTTATTACTTATTGAGACAGGGTTTCTCTGTATTGCTTTGGAGGCTGTCCTGGAACTCGCTCTGTAGACCGAACTGGCCTCGAACTCACAGACATCTGCCTGCCTCTGTCTCCCGAGTACTGGGATTAAAGGCGTGCGCCACCAATGCCCAGCTTCCTGAACTCTTAGAAATAAATTCTGTTCTACGTTTTTTGTTTTTTGTTTTTTAATGTTTTGGATTCCAGACTCAACAGATGGACAATTCCGGTTTTAAAAGAGAGAGCAAAGAATTAATTCATGAAGCTCTTCAACGATCCCCTAAGTTTAACCACCACCTTCTCAATCGTCTTTCCAAATTGTTCCAAGAGCAGTGGGAGAGGGAAAGATGAGACAAGAGAAAGAAACGGGTAACCTCATCAGGACTCTAGCGTGTCGGCCTCCCTCCCCGTCACTCGAAAGACTCTGGTGCGATTTGATAGCTAACGCTATTTGGACTGGAAACCGTCTAAAACAAACCTCGACGCTGGAGGAAACCTAAGCTTGCCTTTGAAGACGCTGCACGGGAAAATAGGGCCCCTGCGGTGGGGACCAGAGGAGCAAAGCCAGGAAGGGAGGGAGAACCAGGCGGCCGGCGGGATGCGCCCTCAGGTCTCACCGCACCGCTGCTGAGGAAGAGGTGGGCTCAGCCCGGGGCCAGGTCCCTGTCACCCCTTGTCCGCCACCCTGGCCCGAGCCCCGTTTCGGGCGTCCTTCTAGATCCGGGCTCCCGGCAGCACCGTGAGCAGGCTAAGAAGCGAGGGTTCCCGGGCAGGCCCGACCCGGTCGCGGCGCCGCCGGAGGCCGGGACGAGCAGGCGCCGCTCTGAAGCGACGCCGCACCCACAGTCCCGCCACCACCACCATCGCCACCTCCATCTCCCTACCCAGAGTTGTCAACTCGCGGTCCACAGCGCAGTACGAACTTCCCGCCGCTTTCCTCGACTCGCAACTTGTCCACAACGCCGTCCCCGCCACACCGTGCAGTACCGAGCCTTCCCATTGGCTGCGAGCAGCGGGAGAGGCGGGACGAGAGGAAAGTCGCGCTTCCCGGCTACCTCTGCGGGCACGCCGGGAGTTGTGGTCCTTACGCTCGCTCCATGATGGGAATTGTAGTCTTTGAACCGCAGAGACGGTGGGGGGGGGGGGCTGGGGGAGTCCTGTGAGCCCGAGGGCTTCTGGGAAGTGTGGTTTACAGGCTGTACAGGCCGATCGCTGTCTTAACCGCATACTGTGCCTCTCAAAGCTGTAAGAACCGAAATAAATATCACCAGAGCTCAGTGAAGCTTGATTTATTAAACGTGTAGACAAAGAGACTTATTTCAAATTTCGAAGGCCTTCTCGGTGTCTTTGCACTTGTCTCCATTGTCCTAGGATTGGGAAGCGTGGGCTTCCAAGCCTCAATTTGGAACTGAGTCTTTTGAAGCCCTGGGAAAGGCTTTGGGTTTGGGTTGTGTTAGTGATATTCTTTTACCAATTTAAGATTGGGGATGGGGGGGCATTTTTTGTTTTCCTTTGTCTTTTTCTTTGAGACAGGGTCTCACTATGTAACTAGCTATCCTGGAACTTACTATGTAGACCAATCTGGCCCGGAACTCACAGAGATCCACCTGCCTCTGCCTCCCGAGTGCTGGGATTAAAGGCGTGCGCCACCACCGCCCGGCCTTCGTGTTGTCTTCTTACAGTGGATCCAAAGGGAAAAAGAAAACAACTTATGAGCTTTAGCCCCCACAAAATCTGAGTCGCCGCCCAGTGTGCAGTCAGTTTCATGTCTTGAACTCGCTGCACCAGGTACCTCCACCTACTCCAGCTTCTTCCCCGTCTTGCCTTCTGCCCGGTGTAGCTGACCCGGAAAAGAATGGCTTTGCACAACCCACGGCTCCCAGGCTTCTGTTGAGTTTGATCCATGGGGTACTCTGAGAACTGAAAGAAAAAAAGTCAGCTAAAGAAAGTGATGTTTCGCCGGGCGTTGGTGGCGCACTTGGGAGGCAGAGGCAGGCGGATCTCTGTGAGTTCGAGGCCAGCCTGGTCTACAAGAGCTAGTTCCAGGACAGCCTCCAAAGCCACAGAGAAACCCTGTCTCGAAAAACCAAAAAAAAAAAAAAAAAAAAAGTGATGTTTCTTCCGATTTCTTCCCAACAAGGACACACAAAGCCAGAGAAATCCCTTAGCTGAAGGTCACTGCTCTCTGGGCCTCCCACAAGTTTGCAATGAAAGCAGGCCTCTGCGCTTGTCAGGGCTGGAACTGATAACGTAATGGCTGCCTCCGAGCCTCAAGCTACTGCTCCATCCTGTGTGACTCTAACACCACACCTTTCTCAACAAGCCTCATCGAGTGTAAGCCTCCTCCACAAATCCCCTCGTGGCATCTGCTTTCTGTATACACACTGAGGGAAATGCAGGCCCAAGGTGAATTCATGATGACTCTTTGTCAGCAAAGAGGTCTTGGGATTCACACATCTCGTGAGTGTGAAGTCCCACAGCAAGGCTCTGCGGTCACAATGCTTTGCGCTAACGAACACGTACACACATCGGAGCTTGGAATCAGATTTACTTGTTACAGTGTGAGGGTGTTCCCCTAACCTCACCACAGACACTCGGGGGGGCTTGACAATTGGCTGGCCTTAAAGCGCAGTTAAGTCAGCAGCAGTGCATGGTCTGTTCGAGGTGAGAATAGAACGTATTCCAGAGCTCATGGCTCTGGCACTCAGTCGGATGGCTCTCGGTTGAGTGCCGCTTTGCTGCGGCTATGTTCCAAGGCTGTTGCCAACACCTCCAACACCACCCACACGTGCAGAGCATGGCAGGAGACCAGTCCAAGCCGCCGTCATGGTGACAGCACATCTGAAATATCACCACTTAGGAAGCGACTCCTGGGACATAGGAGACCTTCAGCACATTCTATGAGTTGATAGGTTGGCGTGAAGGCCAGGAAGGAACAGACCGGTGAGCAGTCACAACCTGTTAAGTTTTTTAAATTAAGAGTTGAGCTGAGGAAAGGCTTGAGAGTACAATCCTGCCATATATATCCCGAAATACCTCTGCAACCGGGCCTGGTAGCAAACACCTTTAATCCCAGTACTCCTGAGACAGAGGGAGATGAATCTCTGTGAGTTCAAGGACAGTGAGGTTTACAGAGTGAGTTCCAAGACAGCCAGAGCCACATAGTGAGACCCTATCTCAAAAAAAAAAAACCATCAAAACAAAACAGAGATGCAACCCCCACAATCCTAACAAATATTTTTGAACATTTACTGTGAACCAGGAGTTAGAGTCTCCGGGAAAGATGCTCGGATAATTAATATGAAGGAAGCACAGCTCTCTGTTGGGCAGGAATCATGCTTTTCCGTACGTTTTGATTTAAGGGGTTCATGTTCCCAGGATGTGCTTTCGGGTGCTCTTCTCTCGGCCACTTGACCCGCAGCCTCAGAACATAGAGGCAATTCCTATAAGGAAATCCTTCCAGCATGGCGATAGAGATGTGATCGAACAGAGGCATGGCTAAATCACAGGACTCCTGGCCCAGGGGCCATCGAGGAGCAAGCAGGTGACTCCTATGAAGGTTAAGAGTTTTCAACGAGGAAGACTGACTACAATTTGTTGTGTTGAATCTGTCCCAAGCTTGCACAGAACCAGGCCCTGGAGCTGCCCTTTCTTAATTCTGAGAGCCTCTGTAGTCCCGGTAACCCTATAGAGGGACACGAAGAAGTCAACAGTAGGACACACTCTGGGAAAAAGAGTGGAGGTTGGCACTGCTTTCAGTCATGGTGGAAACTCCATCTGAGAAACCCAAGCAATCGAGAGAGTCATCAGGGAACAGCACCTCTCTGACAGGCTGTCACCAGGTGCTGGCTCCACCCTAGTTAGTTCTTGAGTCCCTGTCCCGGTTTTCATCTGTGGAGTGGGAACAGTCACCCTAGGCTAACTAGCAATTTGCCTCTCTCAGACCAATGGGAGAGAATGAGGTCACGCTTGAGAAGGGCTTTGATCCCTCTGGAACAAAGCTGCTGGGTGTCCTTCTTAATTACAGTAGCGCAGGGAAATGCTGCCCCTGGTAAGGAGGGAAATGAGATGAGGGAGGAGCAGAATATGTAGGAGTCTCCCTTGACTGTTGGGCATCTCCTGTTTGCCAGGCGTAGTGTCCCATACATTTAAGGTCTAGTGGGAGAGCCAGGTACAAGCACAAATTCCAATAGACAGGATGTTATGAAAATCTATTACTTTCTGAGAAAATGATCTCATACAATCCTGCAAGGAAGATGACATAGTACCCCAGCATCTAGGTACATAGAGCAAGCTCCAAAGCCACCATGATATTTAATCTCAATTGATAAAATCTAGAATCTTGGGGGGGTGACTTAGGGCAAGGATCACCTAGATCATCTTAACTGAGGTGGGCAGACCCACCCACTGTGGGCGGCACCATTCCCTAGCTGGGATCCTGGACTGTGTAATTGGGGAAAGGAGCTGAGCAGCAGCAGGAATTCATTGCTCTCTGCTTCCTGATTGTGGATCTGATGTGAACAGCAGCTTCAAGCTTTCAGGCCTCCTTCCCTACCGTGAGGAACTTTGCTGTGAACTGTGAGCGAGGTAAACCTTTTCTGCCTCAAGTTTCTTTTGTTGGGGTATTTTATCACAGCAACGGAAGAAGTAACCAAGGTCATCGTGAACTGACCTTAATCTGTTCAAGGCCACTGTGAGGGCTAAAGTTATGTTTTACCTTTAAATTACCATGCTTAAGAGATCTATAAAACAAAAATGCCTCTAACCTGTAAATCCCACTTGCTCAAGGACAGATAACTTCCAGGGATGCTGGAGGCTGTTGTCCATGTAAGGCAACAAACCACATGTTTTCACTTCTGTAAACAAGCCTAGTGGCCCCAACTGACAGGATGTGCTTGAGCATAGGTAGGCAGGAGGTACCCAGGCAGGAAGTCCGTCAGGATGTATACTTGCCCCTGATTGGACAAAAGCAGGAAGTACATAGCCTTGTAGGTTTTGCTTTATAAGCCTCTAACTAATGTAATTTGGTGTCATACTCTGGGAATCCCTGGTATGAACCTGGCCAGTGTCCATCATCCTAACTAGTATTTAATTGTTGTAGGGTTTCTATTGCTGTGAAGAGACACCATGACCACAGCAACTCATATAAAGGAGAACATTTAACTGAGGTGACCTGCTTACAGTTTTAGAGGTTCAGTCCATTATCATTATGGTGGGGGGCGTGGCAGCATGCAGGCAGACATGGTGCTGCTACGTCTTGATCAGAAAGCAACAGGAAGTGTCTGTGACTGAGTGTAACTTAAGCAAAAGAGATCTCAAAGCCTGCCCTCACAGTGGCACACCACCTTCAACAAGGCTGCACGCATTTCAACAAGGCCACACCTGCCAATATGCCACTCCTCATGAGCCTATGCAGGTCAATTACCTTCAAAGTACCACATTAACAAGGCTTGCTTCAAATGGGACTCAAAAATTGTGGCAGTGTGGTGGGTGTGTGACCTTTGTTTATGCTGCTTTCGTCTAACTCTGTGAAGCCGTGTTTCTGTGCCTGCCTAAAACACCTGGTGGTCCTAAAAAACAGCTGAACAGCCAATGGCGAGGCAGGAGCAAGGATGGGCGGCGCTGGCAGGCAGAGAATGTAAATAGAAGGAGACCCGAAGAAGGAGGGGGCACAAAGAGAACGAGGAGAGGACATCAGGGGTCAGTCACCCAGCTAGTCACGGAGCAAGAAGGAAAGTAAGCAATACAGAAATAAGAAACCCCAAAGGGAAAAGGTAGATGGGTTAACTTAAGTAAAGCTGGCAAGAAGCAAGCCGAGCTAAGGCCAGACATTCAAACTAAGAATAAGACTCCGTGTGTGATTCATTTGGGTGCTGGGTGGTGGGTCCCTCAAAAAAGGCCAAAAGAGTAAAACATAACACTACAGTAGCGGTCTTATTCTTCCCCGGTAGGATTAACTCCAGCCTGTGGAGCTGACTGCTCCAAGTCCTTACAGATGTGAGTTACACCTTCTGATGCTGGAAAATGTAATGAGGTCAGAGCTGCTACGGGATCCTATGGACATCCGCAGTGCCAGCCAGTGCCTGCTAGCCCAGCCCGTCGGTGATGTCAAAGTTACGGAATTCCCCATGTCAAGTAAGTTCCCTCGCCCTTAAAATATCTCTCATGGTCTCTATCTCCCACATCCAACTTTGTTACAGCAGAGAAGCTGGTCCCACACATGCAGTCCCTCCCTAGTTACTTTTTCAATTTTAATTACATCGCTTAATTATTAGCTACATTTGTTTATTTACTGTGTGAGTTGGAGTGCATGCCACAAGGCATACGTGGAGGTCAGAGGACAGTTCCAAGGAATCGACTCTCTCCTTCCATCTGGGATCAAGCTCAAATTCTCAGGCTTGGCAACAAGTACCTTTACCCACTGAGCCATGTTATCCACCTTCTGCCATCAGTTCTAAGATGCATGCTTGTCACATGTTTAACCTCTGAAACTGGGGCACCTCTTGAAATCTGTGCCCATTGCAGTCAACCATGGTTTTACTTCACTACTAAGCAGCACATAATAAAATCAGACTTACACATGATGGAGGCTTCGATCTAATGAAACACTAAGGTGCCTCCTACTTTGTTTTCCTCCTTGGAAACCCTCTCCAGGGTCTTACACTACCTGAGTCTCACACAGGTGGACCTTTTGTCCTGCTTCATGTTTTTCTGAAGGCAAAGACAAACCTCTCTAGAAAGAGAGACTCAGAAGCTGATAGGAGCCAGTGTGGGCGTGTAAATAAGGAAATGCCCAGGATGGCCCCTCCTCTCTTACTTGTATAAATGATTAACTTCACCAAACCTGACACCTCACCCCCCCAACACACCCCATCCTCATTTTTCACATCAGCTAGTGAGAGCGCATATGTAAAATTCTTGACCTGATGGATAGGAAAGGCAGACACCCCTAGACACTCCTCCTGCTCAGCCCTCCTAATTCCTCCTTCTGAGCACTGTGGGATCCCCTTCTCTCATCACTCCATCTCCAGAACCAAGCTACAATGGGCTGTCATTGTGTGTCCTTCATGGCTAGACTGGGGTCATATACAGACACATGCTCACACCCAGCTGCCAAGTTGCAAACTGGGAAGGGAAGGCGAGCTTGCTCGAAAACAAAAGCAAATTGTCACTTTTCTTTTTGCAACCATCCAATTCTTGTCATGTTTTGATTTCAGAGGTGCTCCAAGATTCTGGGACAAAAGACACTATATATGTAAGCATGACTGTGAGACTCAAGGGGACGCTGAGCAAAACAAAGTCCTTTTATTACCAGAATTGGAGAGATTTGTTGCTAAATATAGTTACTCCATGGAAATTGTTTTTTTTCTTTTTTTACCCATTATCACCACCACTAGACCCTATCAGTAATCTGTTCAGACTATTTCTATATGATTTTGTAGCCAACAGGCATAGGATGTGGTCCTAAGCACCTCGTCCAGTCTCTTGCAGTGATCTGGGGCGAGGCACTGTTTTGCTAATCCATCTTACCATTACGGAAACTGAGCCTTGGAGATTTCTGGCCACTTAACCCAAAGCCGCAGAGGCAGGATCTGAGCTCGTCTATATAATACCAATAATAACTGTCTTCCATTTGTCAAAGGGAACGTGGGGTGGCAACCACAAAGAAGGGAGAATGCTCCCTCATCTTCAGGTAACAGTCATCTGGCCACCAAAGCAAGCGCCAAACAAGTGGCCCCACAGTGTCTCTTCCAGTGGTTTGGGGCAGGAACATCTTGACCGGCCAGGGTCTCTGAGAATGCAGGGCTTGGGGTTCGACTTGACTCATATGAGCCACTGGGTGTCCCTCTCCATTTCCCTAAGGTATGTTCAGACCCTGTGGCTAAGACCCTCAAAGTTTAGTAAGAAGTTTAGAAAGAATGCCATCAGAGGAAATACAGGGATAGCATTTCTCAGCTTTGAAATCTGGAGACAGACTATCTTTCTTAAAATTACTCCTTGAAGATTTCGTACTTCTGGAACTCTCAGCAGAATCAGAGATGTTCTTTTAAGTTTGTGTGCTAAAGGACTCTCTTACTTTACTTCCTGTTGTTGTGACCAAAAACAGCTTGGGGAGGAAAGGGTTTATTTGGCTAACACTTCCGTGTCACAGTCCATCATTGCAGGAACCTGGAGACAGGAACTGAAGCAGAGGCCATGGAGGATGCTGCTTACTGCCTTGCTCGCCGTGTTTGTTTGCTTGACCATTGCATCCCGTGATCACCGTTGGCCCGAGCTCACCACAGAGATAAGCCCCAAAGGGCTTGACAATCGGTTGAGCTACTTAGGGAGGGTTTTTTTCTTTTCTTTTTTTTTTTAGTTTATTTCAACTTTATATTTTTATGTGCATTGGTGTGAAGGTGCCAGATCCTGGGGAACTGGAGTTATAGACAGTTGTGAGCTGCTATGTGGGTGTTGGGAATTGAACCCAAGTTCCCTGGAAAGAGCGGCCACTGCTCTTAACCATTGAGGCATCTCTCCAGCCCGTTTTTTGTATTTGAAGACAAGGTTTCTCTGTGTGGCTTTGTAGACCAGGTTGGCCTGGAGCTCACAGAGATCCACCCGCCTCTGCCTTCTGAGTGCTGGGATTAAAGAAGTGCACCCCCACAACCCCCACCCCTGGCTGTCACCCTGTTTCCTTATACACCCCAAAAGCCCACCTGCCCACATCAATCAGTTCAGGAAATGTCCCACAGACTTGCCTACCGGCCAATCTGATGCGGGCATTTTTCTCAGGTGATGTTCTCTCTTCCAAACTGACTAACTTGTGTTGAGTTGACAAAAAAGCTAACCAGGACAAGGGCTGAAATTCAAGACCCTGGAAGAAGACTCGAATGTTGCAGGTCTCTCAGGAGTCAACTGTCCAACCCAACACTATGCTTCCTTGAAAATGAGGACAGGCTGAGAAAGAGAGAAAAGAGCGTGACAGTGCTGAGGAGGCCCCAGAAAGGGCCAGGTGTGTATGCTTGTTGGTAGATGTTTCTGTCCTGCAAGCTTCTCCCAAGTAACCACACAGAGGTTTTCTATTAATTATAAATGCTCGGCCAACAGCTCAGGCTGGTTACTAGCTACCTCTTACATTTAAATTAACCCATATTTCTTATCTATGCTTTGTTATATGGCTTGGTACCTTTCTCAGTACGGCATTGTCCCCCTTACCCCCGACTCCCCCAGCCCCCTCACACCCCCACCCCCGCCTAACCTTATTCTGTTCAGCTATTGGCCAGTCAGCTTCTTTATTAAATCGATCACAGCGACGTATATCCACACACTGTAAAGGAATATTCCACCTGTGGTCACCCATCTCCCACATCAAAAGCAAGTCCCAGTGGTAGAGACAGAACGCCAAATGGAACACGTCGCTGTGTCTCGGAGGAGGTCTCAACTTGTCTCCTGGACTCTGGGTCACTTGCTGATCTCCCAGCACCAATTCTGTAGTTTCTTAGATTGAATCATGTCCTTTTTTTCCAAAGTCATGTGCTGAGGTCCTGACCTCCAGGACCTCGGGGTGGCACTGTGTTTAGAGCCTTTGAAGAGGTGGCTGAGTTAGATGGGGCCTGATGTCTTTATATGAAGAGGAGAGGAGAACAGAGACCACACAGAGGGAAGACCAGGCCGAAGCAATGGAGAAGACTCCCTTGGTAAGTCAGAGAGAGCAACCCTGCCTACAACTTGATCCTGAACCTCTGCTTCCAGTCCTGTGAGGAAATGAGTCCCCACTGGTTTTTTTTTGTTTGTTTGTTTGTTTGTTTGTTTGTTTTTTGTTTTGGTTTTACGAGACAGGGTTTCTCTGTATTGTTTTGGAGGCTGTCAGTCCAGCCCAGCCTCGAACTCACAGAGATCAGCCTGCCTCTGCCTCCCGAGTGCTGGGATTAAAGGCGTGTGTCACCACTGCCCGGCCTGAGTCCCCACTGTTTAAACCACATGGTCTATGACATTTTATAATGACCATCCTGTCAAACTAATGAACATGAGACCAAAACTCGGAGTCACAGGTCACAGACTGGTTGGGTCTGCCAGGAGGCTGTGTCTGTGCCGCCCCCCCCCCCTCACCGTGAGCTGATCCTTCGGCTCAGCAGTCACTCTCTCCCTCACATCAGTGTCTCCTAGCAACCCGTTTGTGAGCCAGGTTAGGAACCCTTCTTTATTTGGGATGGAGGTAGCGTCATGAAGCCAGAAAGGTGAACTGAGGAAGACACGTGAGTACATCTCTACTTCAGAAGGAAGGCGGTGTAATTGCCAGAGCCTCACAGGGAAGAAGTGGGACCTTGATTGAGATTGTGGTAAGTGCTTGATGTGGTTCGCTGCTCCAACATTCAGCAATGGCCACCAATGTGGCAGTGTTAAAAGACATGAAGGCCAGGCACAGAAGTAGATGCCTTTGATCTCAGCATTTGGGGAGCTGAGATGTTAGGTTCTCAAGTTCAAGGCCAGACGGGGTAACAGAATGAGACAGTGGAAAGAGGAGAGAGCATTCTAAGCAGCACATCTATTTGTGGGCCCTTGGGTCACTGGGCACTGTTCTTTGAAGTGACAGCTGAGGTTCTCACTCTTCCACTGTCTCTGCCATCAGGACATTGAGGTGGCCTTGGCACCCTTGCTGATGTCATGCTGCTTGTCCTGTTAGCCTCCTGGATAGAGAGCTAAATGAGCTTCATTTCTGTTCGAGTTACCCAGTGGGTATTCCATTAGAAGAACAGAAAATAGACAAGTACAGCTAGTTAGTGACAGAGTAGGGTTTTTATAGCCTGGACTGTGTGCCTCTAGCATGGTGACAACACCGCCTCCTTAGCCTGGATAAGTGGCATTTCCCTCTCTTTCTGCACAAATGTCCCTTGCCTAATGCCTTGGGAGAGAATGAATAATCAGCAAGTTGGTAAAGTATACTCACTTCACACAAACAAGCCAATTGTTATTTTGCCTCTCACAGGTGTGGCTTGATTGCCGACCATTAGTGACCATTAATAAAAGAAACCTGGGCTGCAATTGACAAGCAGGTTTGAATTTCCTGAGGCTTGCATTTCACACCAGGGAGCTGAGCTCAGCCAATATTTTCGCACTCCAACACCTGCAGCAGACACATAAAGCATGATTTAACGAAGATAACATTTTTTTTCACTGAGAATTTAAATATAAACCCAAGGATAATTTGGGGACTGGATCATTGTATCCCATGATCACAGTTGGCCCTAGCTCACCACAGAGATAAGCCCCAACGGGCTTGAAAATCTGTTGAGCTTCCTAGGGAGGTTCTGGACGTATTGCAGAACCCTGTAGGGCCTCCCCCTGGTCCACCCTGAAGTGTACTCATTCACTATTAAACAAACATTGACTGAGTACCGATATGGCCTTACTCTCAGGCTCTCTGGGTAGGGATGAATGAGACTAGACCAACGCCTGAGGGGTGAATGGACATGAACTGACGGCAGTAACAGAGTAGGGGATGGTTCCATCATGAAGAGATTGATGCCTGCTTCCAGCCAATAGGGGAAGTTATTGGAAAGGAATTCCAGCTCCTTTCCCACAGACCTCTCTGAGAAAGAACTCAATGGGGCAGTGGGATTCTCTCTCTCTCTCTCTCTCTCTCTCTCTCTCTCTCTCTCTCTCCCTCTCCCTCTCCCTCTCCCTCCTTCCCTCCCTCCTCCCCCATCTCCCCCTCTCATCATATTATATTAGATGAGGTGAGGCAAAATGAAGTAAGGAGAGGGAGATGAGATGAGGGGGTGGGAAGGGGAGGGGAAGGAGGTGAGACGAGGGGAGGGAAGGGGAGATGAGGGGAGGTGAGATGAAGAGGAATGAGGGAAGGTAGGATGAGGTGAGGCCAGGCCTTATTAGATAGCATTAGGCTGCTATGGACTCTCTGACAATGTAGCAGAAAGGTAAACAGCCAAGGAGATGGCTTGGCGGTAGATGACATGCCGGGCAAGCTTGAGTACCCGCATGGAAATGCTGGGCATGGAATGCTGGGCATGGAATTGCTGGGCGTGGAAGGATGAGCTCTCAGTACAGTGCTGAAGAGGGTGAGGCCAGACGACGTCTGGGGTGACTGGCCAGCCAGCAGAGCCTCACTGGCACACTTCTTTAGGCCAATGAGAGAGCCATATCAGAGGAGGCAAAGGAGGTGGACAGTATTCTAAAGATGAAGCTGAAAACCATCTTCCAGCCTCTACACACACAACACCCATAACAACCCATACCCGTTGGAACAAGATCTCCAGAACCGGAACAGGGAAACAGCAGTTGGAAGGTGAGTGAACCAGCCCAGTCGCCAGCCACTGCCTACTGCAGGGGACACTGACTTGGAGTTTGTGTTAGAGCTTTTAAGAATATCTGAGGGGGGCTGGAGAGACTGCTCAGAGGTTAAGCACACTGACCTGAGGTCCTGAGATCAATTCGCAGCAACCATATGGTGGCTCACAACCATCTCTAATGAGATTCAGCGCTCTCCTCTGACACGTATACCTACATGCCAGAGCACTGTATACATAATAAATAAAATTTAAAAATTTTTTTTAAAGTGGTAGAAACATCTGAGGTACAGCTTGGTGGTAAAGAGCTAGCTCAATGTCCTAGCTTGCTTTCTATTGCCATGATAAAACACTGTGGCCAAGAGCAATGTGGTAAATCCATCATGTGGTGAATCCATCATGAGGCGAAGCCAGGGAAAGAACCCGAGGCAGGAACCTGAGGCAGGAAGTGACTCAGGATCCGCAGAGGAGCAATGCTAACTGGCTTATTCCTCATGGCTCACTCAGCCTGCTTTCCTATACATCCCTTGCCCAGGGATGGCACCACCCACAATGGACGAGGCCCTCCCATATCAATCATTAATCAAGAAAACGCCCCCACAGACCTGCCTACAGGCCAACATAAAGATGGCAATCCAGCCGGGCGGTGGTGGCACATGCCTTTAATCCCAACGCTTGGCAGAGGTAGGTGGATCTCTGAGCTCGAGGCCAGCCTGGTGTACAGAGCTACAGAGCAAGTTTCAGGACAGCCTCCAAAGCTACAGAGAAACCCTGTCTCGAAAAAACAAAAACAAAATGAAACAAAACAAAACAAAACAAAAAACAAACCACAAAACAAAGAAGCCAATCCTTCATTCAAGATGCAATTTAGGGGCTGGAGAGGTGGCTCAGTGGTTAACAGCACAGGCTGCTCTTCCCGAGGTCCTGAACTCAGTCCCCAGCCACCACATAGTGACTCACAACTATTTATCTGTTTCCCTCTTAAGTCACACAGGCATGCATGCAAATAGAGTACTCATATACATAAATAAATAAATCTTTAAAAAAATAAAAAAGAGGCAATTAAGGTTCCTCTTCCCAGATAATTCCAGCTTATATCAAGTTGGGAAAACAAACAAAACCCACATCTAGCAGCCCTAGGTTCCACCCCTGGGGCTGCAAAAAAAAAAAAAAAAATACAAACACACTTCAAGCTATCCACTGAAACTCAGGAGGAGGAAGAGGAGGAGAAACTATATCTACCATCCACAGAACAGAGCTCAGTTATGTTCCATAACCCATCTTAGTTCCAGGCAGGGTTAAGAGTCAAAACCTCCAGGTCCAGACCCAAAGCCCAAGCCTTCTAAATCTACAACCCATGACTGCTCTCAGCCAGTTATATCCTTCAACAACTTGTCACTGTCTTCAAATTCCAAATGAATGTGGCATGCGCAGTTGCCTGTCCTCTGTGCTAGACTGAAGACCCCAGGGCAGAGTTCTTGCACAGTGTCTGGCACGCAGTCCATATCAAGTGTCCCTTGAATGAAGAAATGCGTCGTTTGGTATGGCTCACTTACTAAAGCCCAAGCGTGTATAATGTGTGTTATCTTCCCTATTAGTTAGAAACATATCATTAAAAACCCATTCCTGCCGAACGATTTCACCCTCCTCATGATCCCAGAGTGAATTGAATCACTGATAATCACGCCGTGTGTCGCCCCGTCTATTTGTACATATCTGTTACTGACTATTTTTAAGCACGATCAGGACTAAGTGTGATATGAATGACTTGGTATTTTGATTAATCAGCTCAGTAGGGGAAATTTCCAAGGGTAATCAGACTGAACATCAAGATGGGGTGCATGCTGGGAGTGAATGGAGGGAGGAGAGACAGAGAGAGAAAGATAAGAAACCCTCTGTAAACAGAAAGTCAGTCTGGACCTGCTGCAGGAGCCACCAAGTCATCACTTTGTTCTGAAGTTAGGCAGCCCTTCTGGTCGTTTCCCAGAACCGTTTCAACAAATTACCTTGGACTCCGTGACCCTCAGTGGAAAACCTACCACAGTTCCAGAGGAAACAAAGTAGCAGAGCTATGTATGCTTCCTGTGACAAGCGGAGGGAAAGAGCGGTCCTGCCTCCCCCAGCTTCTGGCAACTCCTAGCATCCCTTGGCTTGGGGCCACTCTAATTTCTGCCTCCGTCTTCACAAGATCGTCTTCTCTGTGTGTCTTAGATCTCCTTTCAGTTTTCATCCCATCTGCCGGGACACCCTAAATCCTGGGTGATGTCATAGCAACAACTAAGCAACAATCTTACCTTTCCATGAAAGCCCTGTGAGCTGAGGTTCCCAGGGGGAAAGTTGCACATGAATTAACATTCTCCAAGGCTCACTGGCTGATTAGAACGGCAATGACTGTGGAGCGTTGGAATGATACAGGTTCAGAGCCAAATTATCTCAGGCTTAGCTCCCTAAGTAGCAATTTATTGCTTGACTCTGGGTGTGGCCTAACATCCTTGTGACCATTGGGTAAATGCTTTTAGAGGCCCTAGAATCCACCAACCCAAAGGCTCAGGATGTCATCTGCTAGCATCTGAGGCCTATAGCGGGAACCTCACTTTGCTGTAACACACCTCCTTCATGTTTCCACCGACATACTTGAAAAGTGCCTTGACTTATGTCTTTGTTTTGTTACTATAGAAACTTCATGAAGCTCTCTCACCAGTTGTTTTAGGTCTCAAACACACGCAGACAAATGGCTACAAAGGGCTAAACTCAGGTGTCTATTTAACACATCAAAGAGGACTCTGGCCACTGGTCCCTCCCTGCTCCCAACTTCTCATGCACGTGCGCGCACATACACACATGCACACACACCATGGCCCAGTTCAGTCTGGACTCTCCCAATGCCTCTAGCTGTTCTCCCTCATATGTGCAATAAACCTCCTCAACCACACCTAGGAGCAGCATGTCCTCATTTTTTCATTCACATTGGATTATGGTTTTTGCGGTGAACTGATAATGTGTTCCCAGGACATGGTCACTCATAGGTGGCTCCAGAATAAACTATCTCTTATTCCCTCTGAGTCGAGAACTTTTTTTGTTTTGGTTGGTTTTTTTGTTTCTGTTTTTGTGGCAGGGCTGGCTGGTGTCAGTGCCATGATCCCCTCTTAATGGTATTAAAAAAGGTCACAGACTGTTTGCTTTCCAAGTTCCGGGGTATCACCATGCACTTCCAGCAGCTACCTGATTCCCCAAATTGGACTCTGCGCTGGCCTCAGCTCAGTACCGAGTGTCCTCAGGACCATTCCATATCGGCTCCAGTCTCTAAACGGGCTGCACAGCCCCAGAAGGTTGTATCATTGTACAAAGTCCTGTCTACAGAACAGTCAAGGTGTGTCCTCTGCAAAGCCAGGCATGTGGCCATACCTCCCCGCCTGAATCAGCCTGCTACTATAGAGCCCATGTGTTCTCTAGACACATCTGTAAAAACACAGGCACTACCTAACACAGGTTGTCTCAGCCTTTCCAGGAATCTGGACTGTGGGAGAGTATTGGAGCATCTTCTAGAGCCAAAGAGAGCCAAAGGTATACATGCATAGGGAGGAGCAAAAATGAGGTGTGTGTGTGTGTGTGTGTGTGTATGTGTGTAAGCAAGAGGACAATCTTGAATGTTATAACTCAAGAGCTGTCCATCTGTGTTTTGAGACCATGTCTACCTCTGGTTTGGAGCTCATCAAGTAGGTTGGCTGTCCAATGTGCCCCAGGAATACTCCTGCCTCTGCCTCCCCAGTGCTAGGATTACAAATGTGTGCCACCAGGTCCCTCTTTTTTCTGGGTATCAAACTCGGGTCTTCACACTTGCCTGGCTAAGTACTTCACCAATGAGCCTCCTTCCTAGCCCCCAGGGAGCTTTTATACAAAAGCAAATTTTGTAGGTGTGTGTGGTCTTGTTGGAGGGAGTATGAACCTGTGGAGGCTGGCTTTGAGATCTCATATATGCTCAAGCCATGCCCGGTGAGATAGTTCACTTCCTGTTGACGTTGAATCAAGATGTAGAATTCTCCAGCTGCATATCTGCCTACACAGGGCCATACTCCCCGCCATGATGATAATGGACTACACCTTTGAAACTCTAAGCTGCCGCCTCAATTAAGAGTTGCCGTGGTGGTGGTCTCTCTTCACAGCAATAGAAACATCAAGACTGAAGCCCAAAGCCCAGAGAGATAGCCATGATTTTACTGCCTCCATCTTTCCTTCATTCCTCTTTACTCCAGTGTTGAGGGGCAGAGGAGAGATAGGAACACACGATCATCTATGGCCGTCTCGGGAATTATATTTCTGGGAGGCAACATCAAAGACAACATGGGAAGGAAAGGGTTTATTTTGTTTACATTTCCATGTCGCAGTTCATTTCATTTTCAAAGGCAATCAGAGCAAGAACTCAAACTGGGCAGGGACCTGGAGGCAGGAGCTGAAGCAGAGGCCATGGAGAAGGACTGTGGGTTACTGGCTTTCCTGCACCCTGGCAGGGTAAGTCTACTTTCTTCTGTACCCCAAGACCATCAGCCTAGGGGTGTCCCAGTCCATTGTGGGACTCCTCATCAATTTCTAATTAAGGAAATATCCCACAGGCTTGCCTGCCTACAGCCTGACCTTATAGACATAGTTTCTCATTTGAGATTCCATCCTCATTGATTGCAGCTTGTGTCAAACTGATTAAAAAAAAAAAAAAGCTAGCCAGCATAGTGACTCTGGAGTGAGCATGTGACCAAGGGTCAGCCAATCAATAGAGTTGGCACCCCAAAGATGGTGATTTGTTCCGGGACAAGTAAGACACATGATTCCATCTAAGCCAATGCGATTTGACCTGGAACTTTTGAAACTATCGGGAGAAAGCAGTTCTCTTCTACCAGCACCGTAGGCGGTAACAACCCCACTGTGGGAGGCAAGAGAGGGTAACAGGAAGCGTGGCCTGGATGACTAACCTCAGAGCAGAGGAAACCAAGCCCAGATAATGCTG